TTTGAGAGGCAGTCTCATTCTGTTGCCAGGCTGGAGTGCAGTGGCATGATCTCAGCTCACTGCAACCTCCACCTCCCGGGTTCAAGTGATTCTCCTGCTTCAGCCCTCCAAGTAGCTGAGACTATAGGCGCACATTACCACGCTTGGCTAATTTTTGTATTTTTAGTAAAGATGGGGTTTCACCATGTTGGCCAGGATGGTCTCAATCTCATGACCTGGTGATTCGCCTGCCTCGGCCTCTCCAAGTGCTGTGATTACAGGCGTGAGCCACCACACTCAGCCACTTACCTTCTTTAAGTGGTTTTATTTTCTGAATTTATTCATATGAAAGTGCCTCTGTGGCAACTTTGCAGTCCCAGCAAAGTACAGAGCAAAAGTCTTGAGATTCTGGTTATGTAAAAATGGCTACACAAATTAACACGTCATGTCAAATAAAAGCATAGAAGCTTTAACCTCATCTAATTTATCTACATACATCTTCCACTGCCGAGGGGAAGCATAGCTGATCATCACCTCACCTAAAAATTATTAAGCATAATTTTCATTACCTGGAAAGTATAATGAGAAAAATATTAACCTTGGAGCCAAGCAAGCCAGGCCTCGCCACAGAAATATTTTGTTCTGGCCTGGTGCAGCGGCTCACGCCTGTAATCCTAGCATTTTGGGAGGCCGAGGCAGGTGGATCACCTGAGGTCACAAGTTTGAGACCAGCCTGGCCATCATGGAGAAACTCCATCTCTACTAAAAATACAAAAATCAGCCCAGCATCCTTGCACACACCTATAATCCCAACTACTCGGGAGGCTGAGGCAGGAGAATCACTTGAACCCAGGAGGTGGAGGTTGCAGTGAGCCAAGATTGTGCCACTGCACTCCAGGCTGGGCAACAGAGCGAGACTCTGTTTTTTTTTTTAAAAAAAAAAAAAAAGAAATACTTTTTTCTGTGTTCAATGTCTGTAGTTCAAAGATGCACATCTATTTGCTTAAAGAAAGTAATAAATAAATACTTAAAATGTATATTCAATCTGGATTAGCTATTTTATTATAATATTCTGGCTTCGGTGGATAATTGTCTAGTCTCATGCAAACATTGGGCAAAATGGTTCATAATTGACTTTCTTCAATTAATTAGTTAAATTAAACTTGTGAGAAAATTCAAGTTTTCTATCACGTTTTATACATAGAGAAACTAAGGATTACTTTAGGAACTGATTGACTTGGGATGAAGGACTGAAACAATTTTTTTCTCCTATTATGCTGCCTACTCTAATTTAAAAGATTTGCTGTCTAATTCAGGGCTGGCCTATAGGAATCTACTGTAAACTACATTCATAATTTTAAATTTGCTGATAGCACACTAAAAAAGATGTTTTTAAGTGGAATTAATTTTAATATCTTTTGTGTAGCCCGATATATCTAAAATATAATCATTTCAATATGTAATCAATATAAAAATCATTGAGAGGTTTCAATGTTTTTTTTAATACTAAATCTAAATTGAATTCAGACTTTAAAAAAAAAAAGTAACCAGAAAACATAAGTGAGTTGCCTGTAAAATCTAACCCTTGTATTGCAAGCCACGTTTCAAGTGTAACCTTACTTGTTGGCACAGTAGTGGGTGGCAGAGGCATAATTGCTTGTCCTGACTGTCCAGAGGGCAGGATGGTATTGAGTATGTGGGCTCTGGACAGGTGCAGCCTGGGTTTGCACCCCGGCTCCGCCACTGCTAACTGGAGAACAATGGACAAGTTACTTTCTGCGCCCCAGTTTTCCCATATGTGAAACAGGGTTGTTGTCAGAATGAAATGAGTTAATATTTAGTGCCTGACAAGTAGTAGGCATTAAATGGTAGCTATTGGTACTGCTGTTGCCAGAGAATGCATAAGAGCTCATTCTTATTTATACCCTCCCCCAATGAAATTTGTAAGAAACTAGACATGCTAGGTCTATAACAGGGTTTGTCATGTATTAAATTGTGTCCCCAAATGATATGTCAAAGTCTTTATCCCCAGCACCTCAGAATATGCCTTCATTTGAAAATAGGGTAGTTGGAGATGTTACTGGTTAAGACAAGGTCATACTGGAGTAGGTTGAGCCCTCAATCTGATAAGACTGGTGTCTGTGTGAGAACAAGGAAATTGGGACACAGAGACACAGACACACAGTGTGCCACATGACAGCAGAGGAAGAGATGAGAGTGAAACAGCTGCAGAACAAGGCTCACCAGGGATTACTCGTCACTCCGAGAAGCAAGGAAAGCAGAGGGAAGGATTCTCCCGAGTCTCAGAGGGAGCGTGCCCCAGCTCACGCCTTGATTTTGAACTTCCAGCCTATAGAGCTGTGAGAGAATACTTTCCTGTCATTTTAAGCCACCTAGTTTGTGGTACTTCATGATGGCAGCCCTTGGAAAGTAATAGAGAATTCTTCACCCAAAAGGAAGCACTCTGTCTTACCAACAGCCAAGGTCCTGATGACCGACAGCCTGGAGACTGCAGACCTCCAAGGAATTAAAGTAGGCTCTAGAAAGTCTGGGCAGCTCCATCTTCCAAAGGCTGCTTCTCAAGTCCACACACACACTTTGGAAACAGAATCCTGTTCTTGGATGTGGTATTCTTGGTGGGACAGCTACCTATAAATTGAAAGCGGTAAGTCACAAACCCAGTGAAATAATTCCGTTGGTTTCTTGGTGATGAAACTAGTGTGAGCATGTTACAAAGTCTACCATTTGATCTTAACGGACTTTGTCATTTTTTGCCAGTTTTTTCAAACATCTTATTATGGTCAAAACATTAATTTTTGTTCAGTTTTTTGTTTCTTTGTTTTAGAGATGGGGTCTCACTTCATCACTCCAGCTGGAGTGCTGTAGCAGTCATAGTTCGCTATGGACTTAAACTGCTGGGTTCAAGCGATCTTCCTGCCTCAGCCTCCTGAGTTTAATTCAATTTTTTAAAAATTTTAGTATTTATGTGTATCCTTAAAAACTAGGGCACTGCCTATAATCCCAGCACTTTGGGAGGCCAAAGCAGGTGGATCACGAGATCAAGAGATCGAGACCATCCTGGTCAACACGGTGAAACCCTGTCTCTACTAAAAATACAAAAATTAGCTGGGCATGGTGGCGCATGCCTGTAATCCCAGCTACTTGGGAGGCTGAGGCAGGAGAATTGCTTAACCCCAGAGGCAGAGGTTGCGGTGAGCTGAGATTGTGCCATTGCACTCCAGCCTGGGTAACAAGAGTGAAACTCCGTTTCAAAAAAAAAACTGGGGCACTAAAGGTAGGACATACAAAGAAGTAAAATAAAAATAGTCTAAAATGATATGGATTTTTATATTGTTAATACTCCTAGAGGCGGGGCACAGTGGCTCACGCTTATAATCCCAGCACTTTGGGAGGCTGAGGCGGGTGGATCACGAGGTCAAGGACCATCTTGGCCAATATGGTGAAACCCCGTCTCTATAAAAAATAAAAATATAAATAAATAAAAATACTCCTGGAACTGTTAACCATTCTATATACAGTTTTCTATAGTTCTTCATTCTCCTAAATTTGAGTTATGTTTCTTTTTCATTTCCATTTGTATATATATAAGAAAAGAAGTTCTCAATCATATATGCAGATTTTATGACAATATTATAAAAAATAATTTATTTTCACAATTTACAAATGCTTGACAGTAAACACAAGTACTCATAAGTGTTTATTGTATTGATTTTAATCTGATGATTATATAATAGACTCTAAAAATTGATTTATTATTTTAATGTTACGGCTTGTTAATTCTTATTTACCAGGAAAATATATGCTTTGGTTACAGCATCTTCTTAAGTCATATTAAGTGACTGCCTCAAATCTCCATTAATATTTATAAGAATATAAACTGCTTCAAGCAGAACTTTATGCTTAGAGAGAACCTGGAAGATCTTTTGATCTAAACTTTTCATTTTATAGATGAGAAAAATAGAGCAAGGGGATATTAAAGACTTGAGGAAGCCATGTCATTATTAAGTGAAAGACCAAACAATAACTCTTGTCATCCAAGTCTCCTCACGCCCAGTTCAGGGGCCTTTACACCACACCACCAAGCAGAAAATACCATCCTCCTAACGGGCAGATGAGATGGACGTTAGTAATCCGTCAGTGAACTTAAGCAGAATTTAGGAAAATGGTCTTTAGCATTAAATTAAATAACGCATATCAAGCTCTTAGCAGGATATGGGGCACATAATAAATGCTTGTTAAAGGGAACAATTATTTTGTTGTTGTATAATTCAGAAATGCAGTGTGAAATATATCCTTGTAGACTTTCAAATCAGATGGACCTGGGTTTGACTGGTAGTGTGCCCTCGCTGGCTTATGTAACCTGTGCAACTCACTGAATCTTTGTATCAGCTTTGTCACAGGCAAATGGAATAATAATGAGATTGGGTATGTAAAATACAGATAAGTACAGGCATTTGTTAATATTAACAATGAAATTACAATCTATTTTATGTGTTGAGTCAGTAATATAAAGAATTCAGAGATGTGGCTTTATCCACCTAAAATTGAGGCTAATAGGCCAGGCTCATGTCAGCTTTACGTTAGTGCTCCCACCTCTCTTTCCACCATGCCCCTTTCCTTTGGCACTGACACTTGAGCGTCAGTGGCTTTACCCTGCTGCCTTTTGAAAGTTTAGGAAACTCTCTTCATAATAACTTTCTTGTATTTCTCTTTCCCTGCAGGCCCCATATTTAAACAAACGAACAGGCCAGGTGCGGTGGCTCCCGCCTGTAATCCCTGCACTTTGGGAGGCTGAGGTGGGAGGATCACCTGAGGTCAGGAGTTTGAGACCAGACTGGCCAACATGGTGAAACCCCATCTCTACTAAAAGTATTTAAAACTTAGCTGGGTATCGTGGCACATGCCTGTAATCCCAGCTACTCAGGAAGCTGAGGCATGAGAATCGCTTGAACCTGAGAGGCAGATGTTGCAGTAAGCCAAGATCATGCCTGGGTAACAGAACAAGACTCCATCTCAAAAAACAAACAAAAACAAAACACAAACACCACCCCCCTTCATTTCATTATCTTAGGCACTTCATCTTGATCCGCTAAAATTAAGGCTCCTTAGCTGATTAACTAATTTGACTCAGGGAGCCTCCCACAGTCTGTGGAACGCCAGCCTCTAAGATGCTCTATGAAAGAAGACCACGTAAGCCTGGGAAATACTATAGAAAAACTGCACTGCCAGGGATGCCCACCTTTAGGTAAGGCCTACTGGTACCTCCTCACCACTCCTGGTTCTTTTTCACTTTGAGGGCTTCCTACTGCCAGCCCCCGAGACTCTGAGGGCATTCTCTCACTTGGAGCATGCTCTTCTCATGCCCTTCAAGTCAAACCAGGTTGGTAACTTCCACCCTGCTATCAAGAACCAACAGAAAATATGGGTGGGTTTCATGGCTAAAGAGATAGTCATGAGATTTGGAGGATGGTCCAGGAGGCATGCTGGATGAAGACAGTTATATTCCAAAACTGCTCTGGAAAAAAGAAGCATCTTTAGGAAGAAGCAACCCATCTTTCAATGGCTTCAGCCAAAATCATGATGCCTGGGACTGCTACATGCCTTAAAGTACTTAAGGAATAAAATGGTCAATACTGATCAGAATTTCAAATAATTAAGCCTTGAACTACCCTACAAAATCCATGAAAAGATTTTAGAAAAGAGAAATAACTTTGGTTCCCTGATAGAGAAATACAAAGTGAGAACATTTCAGAAAGCATTCTTGCTCCGCCTTTAACACAATCATTGGTCATAGGTGTGCTCTACTGTCCAGGCAGAATCTTCTGGGAAGAAGGTAGCAAGAAGTCCTGTAAATGGGAGTCCCGTGGGAGGCGAGTGAGGGGGTAAAAGGTCAGTGTGTGGGGGAGTGTTTAGAGCGACTGGGGACTGAACACCACCCATCTTCAGGATTTGACTTTTGCCACTTATTGCAATTTTCTTCCCAACTCTGCAAACGCAGTTTACATGCCTCGTTTGTCACCTCAGTCACACATTATCCTCCCACGTCCACTATTTAGGTACTGAGGCATTAAATGTTTTCAAATGCATTGCCATAGTTCATCATGCAAAAATCCTACCTTTTTGTTAACAATGCTTTTTCAAAAATCCTTTGTCATTTATAAAATATTAGTAAGTGAGATACCAGGCAATAAACAGAAAATTTAAATAAACCTAGTACTTTCAGGGGTACATTCTCTGTATTAAAAACAAGAATAAAAATTACTAAGAAGTGAGAAAACGTGGAAAAAGAGTGGCAAGCATCCAACATGGCCATGAACTGGGGGCCTCTGACATTTCCATCTTCATCAAGGGGGATTCTGTCAAGTAGTAAGTCAAACTCTTCATCAGTAATCTCCACACCAAACCTGAAACAAATAGCAGTTAGCATCAGTCACCCCCCAAGTTCACATTTGGGTCACCCATACCCACAATACCCTAAGCATATGGCTGCCATTAAAGCTTTGTGACTGCTGCAGTCCTCAAGATCAAGAGCACCACGTGAATATCAGAGGTTAATCAGGGTTTTGATGGCTTCAGCTTTCTCAAAGAAAGAGATTCTACCACGGAATCCCTTCATTGGTGGAGCACAGAAATAGAAACACCGGCATGTTGAATTGTGTGTGATTGTCTTCTATAAAAAGTTATTCATTACACTAAAACACTGGTATTGCTTAAACAAGTTAACTCTGAAAAGCCTTTCAATTGGGCTGCTTAGCATGAAAGAAAAGGTAGAGAAAAAAGTGCCTTTGGAAAAACAGCTTCCTAATACTCTCGCAAAGCATTTCATAATGGCTTTAAAGACATTTTGCATACAAATATTTTAAAAGTGGCAGTGTTTATTCATCAGCAAGAAAGTGTTTTCATCTCTCAAGAACAATCAAAACATAATCCGTGAATCACTGGCATAAATAAGAATGACTTAAGCAATAATAATGAACAAGGCATTCATTCATCATTTTGCAAAGCTGATAAAACCCAGCTGACTTTTGGAAAAGAGGGGAATATATTTTCTTTTGGCAATGCAATGACAGAATAACATCAAAAAGCCTCTTTTTCCATTTTCATTATTACTTCCTTAATAATTATAAAAAGGCCAAAGATTTATAAGATCTGCAAAGAAACCAGAGTATACTTCCTTAATAATTATAAAACACACATATACATCAACAACGACACAACAAACAAAAATGGCTTTCTTTTTTTCATAAGCTGCAAAGAATTATCGCATATTTGTATTTCGGAAGTACTTGAATTTGAATAGCATCTCAGGGAGTTTGCAGTTGGGTGTCCTTTCTTTCATTTATATAAAATTAGGGGAAAAGGGGGTAATTTAATGTGACACCTGCACGGTGTTTATCTTACTCCCTCTTATTCTCTTTATCATTTATTCCCAATGAAGTTACCAGTACTAGTGGAGAAATCTTTGGTATTTTGCCTCAGAAATGAAAATTAATTCTCCGGTTTTATTTGGATTTAAATTCTTAAACTCAGTACTTTTAAAGGAAGTATTTTGTATAGGCATACTGGGGAAAAAAACGATCAGTCAGGAAACCCAAATCTAGTTTACATCCGTGAATCTAGTTAATCTAGATTAAGCATTCTACAGCTATGTAACCATGGGGAAATCACTTAACTTTTAGATTTGAGTTATAAGAGTGGTCTCAAATGGCCTGTAAGTTCTCTGTGTCTTAGTAAACGGTATGCAATAGTGAGATGATGATAAAACTACCGGGAAACAACCACAGAAATATTGTGTATTACTATTTTTGATGTAGAGTACAGATTAAAAAGGCCTCAAACATACTAGAAAAGATTGCTCAAACCTACCAGTGACACACGTCCTTTTTCTCAAGAGCCGGTCTTTGTGAGTGGCAATTTGGTAAAGTGGGGGCAGCATGGGCTTCCGTTAACTGACCAAAGTTTGAATCCCAGCTCTGTCATTTAGTAGCTGTGTGTGGCCTGGGCAACTTCCTTAATTCCCTGTTTTCATTTGTATAACAAGTTTTCATTTGTATAACAAGAAAGGTTATTTTGAAAATCGATTAAGTAAATAACTATACGTATGCTCTCTTTAATGTAAAATGTAGTTTCTTAACAGTGAAACGACCTTCCTTTTATTGGATAAAATGAGGCTTTCCCTAATCACCAAGCTTAGTCTCCCACCTTAGTGTCCAGTCTCTATCTTATCACACCGCTATTATTATCTTCTCTCTCTTACCACTATTTGAAACTCTTTTATTGGTTTACTGATGACTTGGTGATTGTCTGCCTTTATCTCCACTTCTCATGTAAACTCTATGAAAGTAGGTTTAGTGCAGCTGGGGACTACACACCAGTCATCTCCAGGACTTCACTTCACCTTTCGCCTTTTCACCATTGTATTCCTAGACTCTGTAACAACAACCAGAGGGTACTCAATAAATAGTTAATAAATGAACAAATGACTAACTCATTTCTACTGTAAGAGTACATGTACTTGAGAAAAGAGGAATTTTTATTCTGTGAAATAAGGCATATGTTAATTAGCTTACTTAAGCCATTACACAATGTACACACATTTCAAAACATGTTGTACATGATAAATATATACAATTTTATGTCAACTTAAAAATAATAAAGAAATAATAACATAAAGAGGAACTTTTATGTATTTCTTTGTATATATTCATGGGGTACAGGTGCAGTTTTGCTACGTGGATATATTGCATTGTGGTGACGTCAGGGCCTTCAGTGCATCACTGGAACAGCACACACTTTACCCACCAAGTAATCCCCCATCCTCCACCCTGCCTCCCACCGACTCAGCCCCCACCCTCTAAGTCTCCACTATCCACCATTCCACATGCTACATCCATGTGTATACGTTTTTTTAGCTCCCACTTATTAGTGAGAATGTGTGGTATATTTCTTTCTGTGTCTGAGTTGCTCCACTTAAGATAATGGCCTCCAGGTCCATTCATGCTACTGCAAAAGACATGATTTCATTTTCTAAGGCTGAATAGTATTCCATTGTGTATATATGCCATATTTTCTTCATCTAATCCTCTGTTGATGGACACTTAGGTTGATTCCACATCTTTATTACTGTGAATAGTGCTGGAATAAACATACCAGTAGAGAATGTGTGCTTTGAAGAGATTGAAAAAGGTTTGAAATAAGCACAGTAGAGAATGGAATATAGAGTTGACTAATAAGACATCGTGAGGATTGACAGGAAATACTAGGAATCCAGGTGAAGTTGGTGACAGTGAATTTCCAGTGATATAATCTACTCAGTAGCATGATTCTCCCCGCAGCACTAAGCAGCCTGGGTGCAGGTGAAGGCAAGATGAGCAGCTGCGCACATCTAGGTGTGAGAACCTGTCGGATAGATGTGAATAAAAGACAACAAAGCGAGGGAGTGTAGAATATTGACCAAAAAATGACTCATGGGTAAACAGAATCTATACTGTCCTCCAGCTTAGAAAGGGAAGAGAGAACAGGTGTGTAGGGATAGAACTGGAAAACAGAGGAGGATCCAAGATGGCCATTTAGGAACAGCTCAGGATTGCAGCTCCCAGTGAAAGCGCAGAGGGTGAGTGGATGCCGCATTTTTATTGCCCACAGACTGGGAAATTCCCAGGTGGAGGAGCTCCACGGGTCGCCAGCGCGGCTGTGCCTGCCGGCAGGGCTGCTTTCCCACACGTGGGTGCTTTGTCAGCGCCCCAGCGCAGCAGTTCTCCATACAAAATTCACCGGTCCGTGTGCCCTTTTGGCTAGCGACTGGAGCCACGGGAAGTCGCCCATTTGTCTGTTTAAAAAAGGGACTGAGCACAGTAGATTCCAGGGCAAAAAAAAAAAAAAAAAAAATAGCGCCACAAACCTCAGTGCCGCTGTTTAAGCCAGCGCAGAGAGTGGCCGCAGGGGAAAACAAACAGACCCCGGCGCCTCTTCAACAGGCGACTGGAACACCAACTTAAAAAAGGCTCTGAGGCAGGGAGCCAGGCGATCAGGCTCGGCTGGTCCCACCCCCACAAAAGAACAGCAATCAGAAACTCTGGATTGAGACTTTCACAGCAAGCGCAGCTGAACCCGGGACGGTCCAGCTCTGTGGGGGAGGGGCGTCCGCCATTACCGAGGCAGCCCGCCACGATGGAGGTAGTCGGCCAATGCTGAGGCAGCCTGCCGTTGCCAAGGCAACCCGCCATTGCTGAGGCAACCCGCCATTGCTGAGGCAGCCCGCCGTTGCCAAGGCAACCCACCACAGCAGAGAGACTCCGCCTCAACAGAGGCGGGCCACCATCGCCAAAGCAGTTCTAACTACACCCATATAAACAGGACTGCAGGGAAGTTCACTCGGCAGCGGGGTGGAGCCCACAGCAGCTCAGCAAAGCCTCTACAGGCTGACAGTGACTAGGCTGCCTCCTTGCTGGGCAGGACAGCTCTGAAGGGGGGAAAAAAAAAAAAAGAGGAGGCAGCAGCATAACCGAAACTCGGAAAGCCCTAAATCCCTGGGACAGAGCACCTGGGAACAAAAAGCGGTTTATGAGTTCTGCTGCAGCAGACCTAAACGTACCTGCCCAGCAGCTCTGAATGAACAACAGAGCTCACAGCTCACCATTTGAGCTCCTATAAAGAAGAGACCGTCTCCTCAAGCAGCTCCCTGACCCCTATATATCCAAAGAGCCGCCTCATAAAGGAGAGATCAGATTGACACTAGGCGGGTATCCTTCTGGGACAAAGAGAGCAGAAGAAGAAAACTGGTAACAACCCTTACTGTTCAGCAGCTGCTGCAGGTGAACCCCAGGCAAGCAGGGCCTGGAGTGAACCTCAGCAGACCTACAGCAGGGGGGCCAGACTGTCAGAAGAAAACCGAGAAACAGAAATAACCTCATCATCAACAAACAGAACGCCAATCTGAAAGATTTGAGACCAAATCTGAAAGCCAGCAACTACAAAGTCGACAGGTGGATAAATCCTTAAAGATGGGAAGAAACCAGCGCAAAAAGGATGAAAACACCTGAAACCAGAACACCTCTCCTCCTACAAGGGATCACAACTCCTCACCAGCAAGAGAACAAGGTTGGAGGGAGAACGAGTGTGATGAAATGACAGAATCAGACTTCAGAAGGTGGGTAGTAAGAAACTTCTGTGAACTTAAAGAACATGTTCTAACCAAATGCAAAAAAACTAAGAACTTGAAAAAATATTTGACAAAATGCTAATGAGAATGGACAAAATAGAAAGGAATATAAGTGAATTGATGGAGCTGAAAAACGCAACACGAGAACTTCGCGAAGCGTGCACAAGTATCAACAGCAGAATTGACCAAGCAGAAGAAAGGATATCAGAGGTCGAAGATCAACTCAATGAAATAAAACAGGAA